AATCAGTCGTTGGTGTAGTGTACTAGTGTGCCGATAAGAAAATTATCTGTATTTTAATATTATAAGTTTTTTTCCTTTTAAATATGAGTGACGAAGATGTTATTGTAGCTAGTGCGGCGTTTCTTTGTACTAAATTAGCCTTAAAAAAACAAAAATCTAAAACTAAAAAGCGCCTGTTGTGGCAAAGAGCAATTTTTAATAGTAGACCGCGGTACAATGGGAGTGACTTACTATGTTTTTATACACAATTGTGTAACAATATAAAAATAAATGTCACTTCAAATATTGGGATTTTTAAACATTATCACGAGCATAACTGTGTAGTGTATCTACTCTATATTTTATTGGTTTTTTTCTGAAAACAAACAATTGTTTTCGCGTTGGTTGGTATGTTTTTAGGTAATACGACCTCGACATAATATTTTAAAGGATTTTCCATAAAAATCTATCGTCAACATTTGTTTTTACTAATGAAAACTAAAAAAAAAATGATTTAGGTTCCTATAAGTTGTGAATGAAACAGCTATCAGATATTACGGCTCACTACAACATTTTTAAACATAGTTAATTAGATTAAAATTTGTATGGAATATTTCTTCAATATTACTTATTAATTACTATCGATAAACCTTGACAAACAATATAAATATCATAAGCCCTTTAACCTAAAAAGTGTAGACATTTTTGCTTCATTTCTCCACATTGAGCAAAGTTTTTATAGCTTAAGGTCTAAAAATTAGACTTAGGTAGATTTAAGCGGGAATTAACATGTACGATTTTATTATAAATAAGTAGTCAAACAGATTTGTGTTAATTGATATGTAAATTATAACATCACATCATAATATTATTTCTAACAATATTATGATAATTTATAGAACATTTTTTGACGCATATATTTCCAAATTTATTAATTGGAAATGTTTTTTGATAAAAAAACTTAAAAGCCTGGACAGTGGGGTCAAGGCTTTGTGGGGACGGAGCATGGTGGGGTCTGGTCTTAGTGGGGACGCTGAGGTCACAGGTTTACAGGATATTTTTAAACATCAAGTTGATAAAATCACTTTTGAAAAAATGCTTCGATGGTAATCAGAAGTTAGTATTTTTAAGCCAGTACAGCCCAAACCAAGCACAGTGTAAATCAGCAAATTTAGAACTGATTAAATTGAGGTGCTGTCTTTACACATATGTAAGTATCAATGTGGTAATTTGAAAGTGATTTTATCCGAGAGGACTAGTACAGTAGAGTATTGGCATAATGTAATCAAAGCAATGAGGAAACGGAGAGGTCACAGATCTACAAGAATTATTATAAATAAAAGTGATAAAATTGAATAAACGCTTTGATGCTCATTTGTAAATACAGAACCTTCATTTAAAACTTTCTAACTTTGCTGGTTTATACTGTGCTTGGTTTGGACTGTACTGGCTTGAAAATACTAACTACCGATTTGCATCGAAGCGTTTTTTCGAAAGTGATTTTATCACTTTCAGATTTAAAAATTCCTGTAAACCTGTGACCTCCCCATCCCCAATATGCCCCGACCCAACTATGTTCCGTCCCCACTATGCACCGACCCCACTGTACTGGTTTTTTTTTATGATGACTTAACCAGGTTGATACATCTTATTAATTTGTAATTTGTATCTTAAGTGTATCTCAGTTATATTTGTATCTCACTTGTTTGTGATTTGTAAAATAACTGTTCTGAGCACAATTTCTTGGCTTATAATAAAAATAATTCTAATAATATTTTCTAAATTTCACATTGCCCTTACCTTGTATTATACATTTAAATTTTTCACCAAAACTCACTTTAGAAGTTTTCAGTGTAGGTAAGTTGTCTGGACGTTTCGGAAAGTCATGGTTGTTCTTAAATTATTTTTATCAACTAAATAACACTGAATTGCCTTTCGTTAGAAGCAGAAGACATCTGAAGTCTGGATTGTCTCTGTTGCTACTATTACATGTTTTTAATCAAGTTATGATCTTCATTGGTTGCTACCTCTGTAAACTACAATTGTTAAACTAGTCAATATGCTTTTTGCTTAAACAACAAAAATTTACTTTTGTCAAGTCTGGGTTATCTGTTGCTACAACCACTTATTTTATTTTTTCCCTAACACAGTTAACATATTTTTAAGAGTTTTATTTTGCTTGGCAGTGCTCGGTGATACACTTTGTCTATTGTGTTCTTGCTTGGAGAAAAATCCCAAACTAAAGATACAAAATCATGCACCTACGCACACCTGCATGCACAAATAACTTGGCCGATAAGACATGTTCATGTCAAAAATGAACTAAGTATAAATTAAAACAGCAGTTTTACTTACTTTCTACGCTCCACACAAAACATTGAATGGTGACAGTGTTGTGTTCGGCAAACAGAACAATTCGAAAAACTTGGAACACAATTGGTTCATTACCTACCTAATCCAACCTAACCACAGTTATGTATATGAGTATAAAAGTAAACTGAACACAATATTTATCTGAATTAAGCGACACGTAGCAACAATGCCCCGTCATGGAAACCAGCAAATTTGTTTTGTGCAATAAGCCCAAAAATATATAGCCGTGGTAAAACGTTACAAAGTGTACAGAAAAATTGTTAAAATTTATTTGTTGAAAAACTTCGGTTAGATTGGTTTAATATTTAACATTTACAAAAAAAAAAAACAACTGAAATCCTTCGACATGAATCTGATTAGGTATACACTTTAAGTGGTTTCTCAAAGTCAGCTACTTCTTTAGCCTTAATTTTTCGGTTTATTTATTTATATATTTCATCGTTTTATATTGTATTTACTGTAACTAGTTTTCGATCAGTCAAAACGTTAAGTACATTATTCCTAATTTAAAAAGTTAACGAAAAATTTGCCTTATCATTTCAGTTAAAAGAGCTGGTATAAAAGTAATTAGTTTGGTAGGAGAATACAAGTATAAAAAATTGTGGAAATTTAAAATCACATTATATTATAAAAAAAAAATTCAATTATTTACTAAACCCAATAAGATATTAAGTGTTCCGCAAAAAAATGATCAACTAAAATAAGTGTCTAAAATCAAATGGGTCACCCTGTATGTATAAATATTTATCTATGAATCGACTATGGCAAACCGAGAAACAAAAATGCACACAATTTGTTAACAACATTTAAACGGCATATATTGATCAAATAAATAATCTACATCGAGATAGATTTCAATTACCTGAAGCCGAGAATGTTCCCACGATACTGTACGTCTATGGAGCTGGTTGACTAGCCGAAGAAGTCGTTTCCTTGTCGGTGTTTGAATTATATATATTGTATAATAAAACGCATTGGTATTTTCCGAGAAAATAAGTTCCTGACATCATATCGATCACCCTATATGTGTGTATGTACGAACAATTAGGTATATATGAGTCAAAGAAATAACGATGAACATGTGGGTGATGCGCTCCCATGCCGAATTGCCCAAAATCGCATTCAGTTGACCGGCTTGTGAATCCTTGCAAATCAATACGGTGTAAACCAGTACACCGGTTAATACGTGGCAAAACATTTTCAGTCGACAAAAGTATTATTCAGTTTTGAGTAAAAATATTTGTCGACTTGAGGCTTTGAAACGACAATGGAAATATGTCGATACCTTTGTGCCATTCTGTGCTTTCCGTTGTGCAAAACATTGCAACGCGTTGTTATTGCAAAGAACTTTTTTGCATGTTTACCCAAAGTAAATACAACGAGTCGGGTCTCAAAATGTGTACGACCATGAGCATAGCACTGGTAGTCTAAGTAAGAGCGAGAAATGAAATTACAGTGGCGTTGGCGAAAAATGAATATCTTAGACCGACATTATAACAGTTGTTATTTCATATTTTCACCAACGCCCATACTGTAATACATTTTTCGAATATCATTGTCAAATCGTACATATATGTGAAAACCACCTTGATTTTTAGTGTCTCGAAAATTCTAGTTAGATTGACTTTTTAGTCAACTTTTTAGTGCTACTTTTGTAGCAAGCAGTGTATTTGTAAAGAGTTTGACTCATGTGATCGATCACAAAATATAAGACACGTTGTTCATAACGAACAAGTATTTGTGTAACATTATTTTGTACATGGTCCCATTCAACCAAAACCTGAGTTTTTAAACAATATATAAAATATATAGACTCTGATAGAATGCTGGCACATTAATAAAATTCATCACAAACCGTTCTTGAAATACTGTCAAATATCAATCCAAATTACCAAGATTGAATTCGATTTTATCAAATTTGTATATTTTGCTTGGCAGTGCTTGAAAAGTTAATAAAATATAATATAAGTAACCGTTCAAGTGTCAAAAAAAAAACTAATTTGGTAAGGAGGTAGAAACATACAAGTTTATGGAAAAGTTAGATCACATTATATAAAAAAAAAATAAATAATTAATAATTAAACCCGGTGAGTTATTGAGCAACGTTTCAGCTTCAAAGCTATTGTTATGATAAACAATGCCTTCGCTGTGTCGACTATGTTAGACTTTGGCCGTTTCAATTTAAATTAAAAAATTTGTTGGCCTCTTTTAACGGATTATGTTGGATCCTAGTTAAGGGTATCGGGGAAGGTAGTAGAATGAAAAAAAAATAACGTATGGTAAATCTAGCCGCGTCTGGTCAAAAATGGTATTTTATATGAGCCGATAAATTAAATTCCAATAAACACTAAACCGAGTCCGTTTGTTTGGCTCTGATTTATTATTCACGTGTAATTCAAACACGGTTTTTATGTAGCTGTCACACGTTCAAAACGGAGAGTAATATTGTAAATTCGGATTCCAATCGAACCGTGCAAAGCTGTTAAAACAAATTAATCATTCGCGGTATTATTATTATTATCAATCAAAACGGGCAACATAAATCTTTTTGACCGTCATCGGACGGACATATTTGCTGTGCATTGACATACAGTGACAATTGGACAAATATTGTTTTCGTTTCGATTGGTCATTATAAATACCCGTACCGTGTCCGGTGGTTGTTATTAAGTGTTGTCATCTTCAAACATGACAATGGCCAATTTAATTCGTTCCTTGGTCGTCGTCTGCACAGCTATCCAGTAAGTACACAATTTGTATGGACTACAATAGCCGAAACGTCTGGTTTACCTGTTTTTATATTCTAATAATTGTGTTTAAATTGCAGTAACTAACATAGTAGCCGTATGAGTCTCAGCCAAATGATTGCTCCTTAAACAGTTTCTCTCACATATCATATTTTTTTAGCAAAATATAATTTTCAACTAAATAAAGAAAAATAAATAAATGTTTTTTTTTAAAAAATAATTTTACATTTACACTATCGTCCCTTCGGCGGTGCACATACTTATTGTTAAAAGGTTCATTTTTTTTTTTATACATTTACTAAATAGGACTGTTAAAATTTTTGAAGTCAGTTCAACGCCTAAATTCAGAACAAACGTATAGGTATTTAATTCGAATAAAGCTAACGACCGTTTAGTCGAGATTTTAAACGGTACAAAATACGGCAATAGAAGGTTTCATAATTTCCCTACTACACAGAAAAAAATATATATTACAGATATTTCGAAATTGTTGTATGTATTTGGTACCAAATAGACCAAACCACTTAATCTACATTTCATAGTATAATTAAAAAATAGTCTCACACAAAAAAAAAGTAAAGTAAAAAGCCGTCTCCTCCGTAATAAAATTCAAACTATACTTATTAAGTTTATTTAATAAACTATTTCCGATTCAATTGTAACATACTTAAGTAATTCAACGAATAAGTCCATTGCTAACAGTGTGTTCGCGGTTTCAGATTGCAGACACAACATTTTATATTTAATTAATAAAAAATATTTCTCGAGTTTCGGAAATTTCGATTTTCAGTTTAAAAAAAAAAAATGTAATCAAGTATAAAAATAAGTTTATGTTTTTTTTTTAGGCTATGCAGTGGAACATATTTCTGGTCCAAGCCACGGTGCGGAGGGACTGCAGTGTCTTCAAGTACCATAACTTCGGCTTCCGTTAGGTCTTCGTCGACAAGCAATTTCTGTACTTTGGACAAGGCGAAACAAATTGAATATCTAAAATCCCAACTGAGCAAACCCGTTTCCTGTGACGATGAAGACAGCGCAGAACTAAACGTGGACAGTCGAGAAGAACTGAACGCCAGGGATCACCAATCTATGTTCAAGCTAAAAGCACACATCAAGGGTCGCGTTTTAAACAAAATTTACGAGAGAAATTTGAAAAAGAACGTTGTAAACGCCAAAACCAACAGGCTGTTAAGATCGGGTGGTTTCAAAGCAAACGTGAGAAACAAGTTCGTTGCAACCCGGTCATTAAGGGGAGCGCTTAAGACAAATTACCGACAGACCAGCAGTGTAATAAGCACCAGTAACATAGTTGGCGTTGCCGGTATGTTCCTGAATTTGCCTCAAGGATACGTGGCAAAAACAACGACCACAACGGTTACCAACTTGATACCCGAGACCCGGGCTTACCGTTTAGGACTTATAAGCACTACGTCGGTCAACTCGGGCACTGGGACATATTTAACCGGCGATGGTGACGGCAGTTCTGACGGTAACGTGGACATTAGCTCGGCCAACGCCTTAAGATCTACCGTTAACGGTGGTTACGGTAGTACTACAAATGTCAAAGATGGACTTACAATTCACAATACTAATGTAAGAAGTGCCCAGTCAAATGGTAATTTGTATACAAGTTCACCAATAGTGAAAGATGGTCTCTCGCAACAGCAACAACGAAAACTAGATATCATTAACCGCCGAGCTGTGCGTGGTTCCACAACGCCAGGAAGCACATATGTTAACGATAAGAAACAAGTGGATATTCGAATCCGCAATGGTCAGTTAAAAAAGCCAGTGCACGACCCGGTTGGCGGATCTAACAGTAATGGAGAAGATAATTGTGGAATGACGGCCCCAGCGAAAAAGACGGTTCCGAAGAAAAATGCAATGAACAACCCGAGGAGACATCTAAAGAATGTGATGGCGAAGACTCTGAAGACGGTGGAAAGTTACAAAAAGCTGCGTTGAACGTGAGAAGCACTAGCACGAGAAGCATTTATAGCGCAAAACCCAATGTAGTCAGTGCGAAAATCAATCAAAACGTTAAGCACACCAGAACGAAGACAACCGGTTTGGGTGGAAAGTCTGGAGAATGTGACGACGACGACGACGACGACGGTGAGGATGAAATAGTAAACGATGGCGAAAACTATGGTGTAAGACATGGACGTGTTGACATCAACAGCCGGTCTACCAATACTCAGTTGAATATAAAGAAGAACGTCAGCGTTAAGGGAAAAGTAAGCGGCGGATACGGTGGTAAATATGAATCGGTCCACAAGAAAACCATGTCGAGCACTCGAGGATTGGACGATTACAGCGGCAAAGGCGATAATTTGGAACCGCGTGACGACGACAATAGTGGCGACAGGAGTGGTAGTCGTAGCTGGGAAGACGACGACGATGATGACGATGACGGCGAATGCGGAGAAGATAGCGGCGAAGACGCCTCGTCGGTTTACGAATATGCCAGCACGTACAAAAAGTACAACTTTGACGTAGGCCTGAACCAGGTGAGCATAATCGGAGAGGTATTGACCAAATTGGACCAACAGAGGTACATGCTCTTCGACGACTTGGCGTATCATCAGGACTGCACCCGGCACGTGCGCAACATGCAGCATTTCCACTTCATCATTGTCGGAGCCGGCAAGGCCGGTTGCGTGCTGGCCAACAGACTGTCCGAAAACCCCAAATGGAACGTGTTGCTGATCGAAGCCGGCGGGCACCCGTTGCCGGCTACACAAATCCCGTCGTTGTGGCCGCGGGTGCTGAACACCGAGACGGATTGGCAATACGAAATCAACCCGAGCACGGCTACCGGATACGGGATTGCCGGCGCCATGAAAATCCACAAAGGCATGGGTCTGGGCGGAGCCAGCATGACCAGTGCACCGGTGTGGGCGATAGGCAGCGAACAACTGTACAACGAGCTGGTGAAAAGAGGACTGGCCGAATGGTCGTACGAGAAATGCGTGGAATATTACAGGAAAATCGAGAACGTCCGGTTCGACACCGACAAGTACGGCCGCGGCGGATTGTTGCCCATTAGCAAATTCCACTGTACCGAGTGGAGCATGCTGCAGAAAATGATTATGGCCGGCTTCGTGCACGTGGGTTGCCCCGTGCAGAACGACATCAACGAGCCGGCGGTCGAAGCGGGATTCGTGTCGTTGAACGGCGTGTTACGGAACGGCAGGACGTACAACACGGCCAAAGCTTATCTGACTCCGACGCTGGGCCGAAAGAACCTGCAGGTCATGCAGCACGCCAGAGTGACGAAGATCATAATGGACTCGCTAAACCTCAGAGCTGTAGGCGTCGAGGTCCGAACGAAATACGGGCAAATCCTGAGGGTTGACGCGGACTACGAGGTGCTGGTCGCGGCCGGCACGATAGGATCCGCCCAGCTGCTGATGGTCTCCGGTGTGGGGCCGGAAGAGCACTTGAGAAAAATGCACGTGCCCGTGGTCAAGGACCTGCCCGTGGGCAAGAACTTCCGTCACACCCCCGTGTTCGCCGGTATCGTGATGTCGTTCGACAAACCGCTGATGCCCGTCCAGAGCCCCGAAGAAATCGCGTTCAAATACTTGTCCCGGTACAGCGGACCCCTTTCCAATCTAAACGGTTTGCAGATGGCAGCCTACTTGAAGACCGACGTCCATCTGTCGTACGCCGACGTGGTGGTCCATCTCAACTACGTGCCGGCAAAATCCATGTTGCGCCTCTGCGGTTTGCGGGCCGCCTACGGGTTCAGCGACCGCGTGATGAACGCTTATGCCGCGCTGAACGCCGAAAAAGACATTTCCATAATCACGGTGACTTTGGTCAGTCCGCAGAGCAGCGGCCGGATCATCTTGAAGGGCTGTGACCCGCTGGAGAAGCCCACGGTGATCGGCAACACTCTGGGCGACCAACGCGACATGGACAGTCTGATGAACGCCATAAAGATCATAACCAAGCTGACCGAATCCGAGGCCATGCAGCTGGCGGGCAGCAAATTGGAAAAATTGGAACTCGAAGGTTGTGCCGTGTACGAATTCAACTCGGACGACTACTGGAAGTGCGCGGTGAAATACTTGGTCTCGTCCACTTCCAGCACGTCTGGATCTTGTAGCATGGGCTTGGAGACCGATTGCACGGCCGTCGTCGACAGCAACTTGAAGGTGATCGGCATGAGCAACTTGCGAGTGGTCGGTCAATCGGTTTTGCCGTTGTCGATCAACGGCTACAGTCAAGCCGCGTCCGTAATGATCGCCGAAAGGGCTGCTGACATCATTAAAACTACATACACTTCATAAAAATTGATTTCTCAAAAAAAAATATATAAAAAATAAACGTCTATGAACTGGTTTTTCGAAAAATTAATTGTACAATTCTTGAATACAGAAAATATTATAATTTAGCGGCATTACAATGTTGTTGTTTTCAATGATTCCTTTAAGAAGATTCCGTACCGACCATATTTCTATATAGAGTTGTGTAAGAGCAACGGTTTTAAAATAAAATATGTAAATTCCAATTTGACAAGCTACTTCTCATATCCAAGAGTCGAAAAAACAATTTACAAAAAAGCTAAAAAATGTCCACTCGAAATGTGCTAACACATTATAATATAGGCATCCCACCAACTTAGGAGATAACTAGATAACAGTGTTATCATTTCCAACGTGCCATCGCTGCGACACTTTTAAGTGTAAAATAAGTACACTGTGTTTTTTTTTTCTCAATATTAAAATGTATAATGGGTAAACACAGTGCCAAAATTCATATAGTGTTTCGGAATTTAGAAGTGACAAAAAATAATGAAACTGCAATAAAGAAAATGTGCAATTATAGCAACTAGAATACAGTAAAAAAAATTTTGACTGATTGTAATCAAAAATAATTTTATAACAAAAGAAATATTTTTAATATTGCTAAATAAAAGTTTAATATATTATAAAATAAAAATTAAAAAAAAAATGTATGTCAGTGAAATATTTCATTTGTTTTGTTTAACTATTTTACAAGACAAAAAAAACCGAAATAATAATAATAAAAGTAGAAATATTTCATTGAAACATTTCAAAATGTTCTATCTTTTGAAATTTTTATAAACACTAACAAAATTATAATATGCTACATTAGTTGCTAATGTTTTAGTTATATTTCTATTTCATATTTGGTTAGGAAATAATTATAATAAAATATAAGTGAAAATGATGTTTTAAACGTTATGTTTCATTAACATTTAAATCATCGTTTCTAAAATCAATGCCAAATTATCACTGAAACATTTTTTTAAATTATATCTAATATCAAACAATACTTGGACAATTTTTTTATAAAATATTATATTTTAAAAATATATGTATTTTGCGTGGGAAAGTTTTTTTACATTTCCGTGTAAACCAAAAATTGGCTTTAAATTACAATACTTATAGCTAATTATTTGCTAATAACGCTAACATGAAGCTGAATGCCTAATACAGCTATGAAGACCAATTTTTCCAAGTTTCATCGTTTTCTCTAGGTTGATAATATGTTTATTTATAGTGGTTAGGCATATTATATTATGATATTTAACACCAAATAATACCACAAAAAATACCTAATTCTAAGTGAATCCGCATCATGTTTTTTTCCTTAAAAAAATTAAGAACTGGAATCCGAGGAAATATTTATTCTGTAAATAAAGAACGTTCATTACGTCATATTAGGTCGTTTATGTATTAATAAAACTGTCAACATGTTGCTCAGTTTAGAATGTTCTTCAAAACAAAAACATATACCATTGTTGCCCTTACAATACTAGCTAATTTCATATACTATCTACATGTAATAATTATCCTAATAGTATTTTTTTATAAAAACTATCAATATGTTAATACATTTTTTTTTTTGTTTAAATATAACATGGACTGTTTTTTTACTCTTAACTGAACTGAAAAGTGAACAAAGCTGTAAACAGCAGGAAAAAAATAATATAATGTTATTTTAGTTGCCTATTTGTTGCCCCTTATTGATGTCACTGCATAGTATCTGTTTAATTTTCATTTAGAATCTAAACTCTTGAGTGATATTTACTTATGATATTATTATACACAAGAAGGTGACAAAGTGTTTGAGGAGTATTCCAAAAAATAAATATATATAATACTGAATTTAAAGATAACATTACTTAATAAGTAAATAGCTAAAATTGACAATAATCTAATGCAAAACACTTAGATAAATAATTTCACACATAAACACGAATTGTTAGACCAACTCAAAATTATAGAATTTATATATATATATTTTTTTTAAAGTATTATAGAGAATTTACTATAGACAATGTACTTTGGACACACTTATAGTATTATCGGTGTTGGATGGATTGGGTCGATTGTTACATGCGCCTATTATAGGAATTATATCCGGAAAAGAAAGATTAAAACGTTTTTGTTTTTGTTTATATCATAATAATGTAATAATAATGATTATAATTGAAATGATCGTACAACTTTGCATACAACAATTCGTAGTGTAAAAAAAAAATTCCCTAAAAAATCTATTTATAAAATTTAAAAACGTCACGTTGGAACTAGTACACACGATTGGAAACTTAAAAATATTATTGTTATTACAAAATTACACGAGTCTAAAAAAACGTTTTCGCCAAGAAATTTCGAATTGTGTTTTTCATTACAAAAAAAAAAAAAAAATTACATATTTTTTAATAATTCTTGTTGCAATGATAATAAAACGTCGTATTAAGAGAAAAATACAATAACATAGCAATAAGATTATTCGTATAACAATGATTGTGATAAAGCTTATTTTGAGACGAAAAAAAAACAACAGCATGTTATTAAAAACTACATTGAACAACACGTCTAGTCGACATTTTAATTTTTAACTAATTTTCTTCCATTATTTTATAACAATTATTATTGTTAATTTTATGAATCAAAGATCAATAAACATGTGTATGTGTGTGTGTGTGCTGGTTAGCAGATTGTATTAATATAATATCGAAATAACTAATAATACAAAAGTCGAATACTTTCAAAAGAAGTCGAAAATATTATACTACATTATAATAAATAATGATATTATCTATATTATTACCCTACCCTCTAATGTATTAGTATTTAATAATATTAGTAATTATTTAAAAACGCCCACTGTACAAAACGGACGTGGGTACAATAATAATAATAATAATATTAACTATGATAATGATACAATAATAATAATATAGGCTCTACAAAACGAAAACAAAATAAAAGGTAACGATCAAATAGTATAATATTATAGTAAATTTTAAATATTATTGCCTTGAAAATCGCACGCAAAACGTCTCTAAAAAAACAGTCTCTAGTCAAGATAATAGAACTATATTAATATTTCAATAGTAATTAATTGTTTTCTCGATAACACGCTACGCTTTAAATATACGTCCTTGCAATCAGCCCTGACCGTCTAACAACAAAATAATAATAATAATAATAATGATTATTGATGTACCTATTTTCTAATTGACAAAGTGACTAAAAAAAAAAAAAAAGACAGCAAAAACATCAGCTACTTAAGTACAGTCGTGTGTTACATATGAGGTTTTATAATATTTTTTTTCATTACAAAACGTTTTAACAACAAATATAAGTGTATTTTGTATCGTACCGTACACGGCCGATGATTGCAACGTTTCACAAAGTCCTAAAACTCGGCTGTTTAGCGAGAGAAAGGACCTGCGCAGAAACCAAAACGCGTTACTCCTGTTGTACGCGTTTTGGTTTCTGCGCACGTCCGATGTCTGGCTGAACAGAGTGCTACAGCTATTGTCGTTGTTGTCAATAGTCGCCGGACTATACACATGGAAGTCTAATAGTGATAACAGATTGATCCCACACGGATTCCGCCATCTTGATTACGTGTGATAAAAATCTGATAAAGTCAGACAACAGCTGTTATCTCTTATCAAATTTATATCAAACATTATCAACAGAAACCGTCATCGAATATATCCACTGAACAAAGTCGGATACGGCAAGTACAAGATAACGAGACGGAATCAAAATGGCGGTCCCCCAGGTGGTCCATGTGTACGGTTCAGCGGCGTAAGTACTGCGTGGAAAGGAAAATACTGTATTACATTTTTCGAGAGAGAGAGAGAGAGAGAGAGAATTGAAAAAGTCTACGCGATACAATGCATATTATATTGTAAGTCTATCGATGACACGGATTCGGTTAGGTTTCGCATTCGACTAACATCCGGTTTGCACGAGCAGCTTGGAGAATCTCCAGACTCGAGTCCAAGACATTGTTCCGGTGGTCATGACCGGATGTTCGCGCAGGGCGCACTGCCACTTGCAATGGACCGTCTGGGCCGCCGCCGGTTGTTGAGCAGCGTGAGTCGGTGTCGGTTGAGCGCTAGGCAAACGGGCGGGCGAAGCCGTGGAGTTGGCCGTGATGGCCGGTTTCAGCGGAGATGCTGCGGGCGAAGTCATTTCTCTGATCTGAAAATAAAATACAGGTTAAAAAAATTAGCATTTTTTTTGTTGACATTTTCATGTCTGAACTCTGGCACATAACCGAAAAAAGTGTAAATAACAAAAAAAAGCGTCACATAAACGGTCACGCTGTTATCTGATAAGAGATAAGAGATTAGAGATGAGGGATAAGAGATTAGAGATGGGGATGTTAATTTTTTTAATTTACGTGTTGTTTACATAACGATCAAACTATAACTGAAAAATAATATCAATAATTCAACAGGTCATATTCCCTATGAATTGTTTTAGGCCAGATATTATGAAAACACTAAAATATGATTAGCCAGAAACTTGATATATATATTATTTCATTATCTATAATTCCACCACTACTCTAAATTTATTCGGTACTCCAACGAGACACGGAAATGCTCTTTCGTGGTTGCAGACTCGTCTGAAAAATTATTTTTTACCAATTTTATTCCCCAAGTTAAGTGTCAGGTTGTGTTACGCTAGTGTGACATCTATAAATGATAAATATCCAAAGTTGGTACGTTTAACGAAACTAATTAATTTATCCGCTCCGCGAAAAACATTGAATCATGGTTATACCTTATCAGTTATAATTTATCTCCTATCACTTATATCACATCTCTTATCATGAAAAAGCATAGACAATAAAAACATGGATAGGACATAACGTCTTATCAGCGGTCATCAGATGTTACGAAATTGAGGCAGAAATTGATTGACGAATTCAATTTTTTTTTAATTTATAATCTAAATAAGATAATACGCAGTACTGTAAGCAAACGGCCTCAATTGGTAATGTCATATCCATGTTTTTATTATCTATGTGAAAAAGTGAAAGTGTAACGCGAAAATGGTGACATCTCTGTTATCTCTTATACATCCGTTATCTATTATCTCTAATCACTTATATCACATCTTGTCA